TCCCAGTCATATATCTTGTTTCCAGTGCATGTTTGCACCAGTCTGATACCTGATCTCTCAGGGCCTCAGTATCTTCATCTGTAAAATGACAGTAATCCTGCTTAGCCCATAGGATGGTTTTACGGCGTAAATGTATTATGTACAATGTTGGTTTAGAAAACTCACGTATGACTTAAATAGGAGATATCATGACCTGCTGTGGAAAAGATGGTCATAAAAGAACACTTCAGTTTAGAGGATATAGCTGAAGAGGACATTGTACATAAACACAGGTTCTAAGGACTCTTACTGTAAATACTTCTGGATGAACAAGCAGGACCTTACAGCTGGCAATGTTTGGATTTATATCTTGTAATTCATTGGCTTTGGGTCTCCCTGGCCTTCTCAGATACTTTTATTAATAATTAAGGTAGCACTGGTTTCATGGGCAGATTTGGATGGTAGATACCGTCTAGGAATCGAATTACTAACAAAATAGGTCAGTGCTGAAAAGTTGACATTTGGTAAGTTTAGGAAGAATTTCTGCTACCTCTTTTTTTTTTTTTTTTTTTTTTTTTGCATAGGACACGTGTGCTAGTTGGAGCGAGATAGAGAAAGAAGGAAAATGAAAAATCAACCCCCAGGTGTGTTGGCCACACAGCAATCCCTTCTCCTCTCAGAATTTTGGGCACTCACACACACACTCCCAGTGTGCTTTTCAAGCGGCTAGGTCTGGGAGTCAAACTATGGAGTTGGCCATGTGGGATACAGCACTTTAACCACTCCGCCCCCTGCTGGCCCACATTATGTCCATCTTTTAATAAAGAGGTCCTTTTGCTGTTCCCATAGCTATTTATATTTTAATAGCATATTTTTCTGTAGTTATTTATCTCAAGTTTTTCATCTGCACTATTCTGAACGCTCCATGATATCAAATAACCATTTGATCGCTGCAGAATCCCTAGTAATGAGTCTGGCAGTTAGTATTGCTTCATAAATATCTACTGACCAAGTGCATGGGTTAGCTAATTCATTTTATGCATATTTGTAACAGAGCTTGTTTCTTATAACAACATCATAATCCATTAGTTTGCTGAATTAAAGACAACTATATACTACTGTTGCATAGAGACTTCAGACATACCTAAGACGCCTGATCTGATATGATTCTTAAACCAATGATTTAAAAGAATTTCAAATGTTTTCCACATTCATGTCTGATTTAACAAGCCGTTGATAAAAATCTTTCCAATTTTCCTTCACTGGTGAAAAACACTATGGCTCCCAACTTCTGTCTTCTGCATTTTCATTTCCTGAGCATCAGTGGGAAGCTTGAGGTTTTTGTTTTTGTTTTTTAAATATAAGGTGTCAGCAGCTGTCAACGTAGTTTCTTCAAATCTGGATTTGTGAAAAGTCCACATATGATCCTGACCCATAGCTAGTGTTGATGAAATTGCATTAAAAAATTCTATTTGCTATAATACATACATACATGCATACATACATATAAATATGTATATATAAATATATACATATAAAACTATATATACATATATATACATTAAAACATATATTTTTCTCCCTACTAGAAGAAGTGCAATGTAGCATTTTAGCAACTATTTTTTTTTAATTTTATTTTTTCAGTTTTTTGAAAGTTTTTAAAAGTTTATTTATTTTTAAAGTTTATTTATTTATTTATTCTTTCATGAGTGAGTGAGACAAAAAAGAGTAAGTGAGAAAGAGAGAGCGATAACCCTCCTATGAAGTTCTTGTTACAGCGACCCACCCCAGTCTCAGTCAGCCCTGGAGCAGAGGCATGCATGTGCCCAGTATACTCTGAACTTGAACTGGGAACCCTCCTGTGTGCAATTGCTTCTCAGAGCGTTACATTTTACCCTTTGCCATGGTTTGGTCCCTCAGCAACTATTTGTTATCTCTCTCGATGAAATCTGCACAGTGGTGGTACAACCAGTGAAACTCAGTTATCTGAACAACTAGTGAGTTTTCTTATTTGCTGCTTGGACATCTTAATAAATTAGAAAGCAAAAAATGATCATTTTGGTAATCATTCAAAAAATAATACTTCTATACATTTACTGTACCTTTCAACTGAATAGATTTTCTTAATGCTCGTGGACAAGAAGTACTTTTTGAAACAATTCCTAAAACTTAATTAGAACTAGATTAGTGTAGTTTAAAAAAAATCCATTTCTATGTTATGTCCTAAGAAGTTTGAATTATCATGTTAGACACACTATCAATAATTTCATAGCGTCTTAGGACACAAGTAAGTAGAAACAATTACTTTATTGATGGTACACTAGAAGTTCTAATAGTAAATTAAAGTGTTCCAGATTGCAACTACATGCCTGGAATTTATCTGTCAAGTCTAATAATTTATACTGCAAAGCATACACATACCTGTGTGTAGGTAACAAATGTAAAATAGACTCCCCCAATTCTTTCTCTTAAAAACCAGCCAATAGTAGGGACCAGCAGATGGCATAATGGCTACATTGCTGGACTCCCATGTAGCCGACTGTGATTTGAGTCCTGGACCCGGTAGCTTAAACTCATGCCAGGCGCCTGTGCGTGAATGCCCAAGATCCCGAGAGGAGGATGGAGGAGTAGGGATTGCGGCATGGCCATCTTCCCTGGGGGGTGACTTCTCGCTTTCTGTCTCTCTCTCTCTCTGTCTTTCTGGAGAGTGCATGTGCCCTATAGCAAAAACCTCCATACTCCCTCCCCTCAAAAAAGAAACGGCCAATATTAGAGAGATTAGTAATTTTGTTGTTCTGGTATTTAATATTGCAGCATGTTTTTCATAGGTCAGCAGATGGACATAATTAAAGGTAATTATTATTTTAATAAGTACTATTAGTATATGGAGAAAATATGAATCAGGGACCTTATGTTGATATCATTAGATTTGTCTACTTTTTTGAAAATACACCCAATACAAGAATTGAAAGTAGTATTTTTTATACTCCTTTAATAGACAAACCTCAGGTAAAAACAAACAAAAACAAAAACTAACAAAAAAGCAAAACTGGAACAGCTCTATCACATTGTAGCTAGACATTATCAATACTTTAAGATGATAAGAATTAATGGGTTGGGAGCAACAGTTAGCGTTAATGGCTATGTAGCTGAACTCCCACATAGTCGACCGTGGTTCAAGTCCTGGACCCGGTGGTTTAAAACTCATGCCGGGCGCATGTGCATGCATGCCCAAGATCCTGAGAGGAGAATGGAGGAGAAGGGATTGTGGTGTGGCCATCCCCCCTGGGGTGTGATTTCT